TACTCATCTGAGTTAAGAGATTCATTTGTGTTTAATAGAATTCAGCGCATGAAAAAATTTTAATGAATTTTTAAAAATTAAAAAAATTCATCCAAACGAGTTAACATCATAGCTGATTCTCGTGCTTCATTGAAAAAAATGAACTAAGTGCTTATCATTTATGATATAAAAACTAGCCTTTTCTTTGCTTCCTCAATATCGCTATTAAAAATTTAACGAATTAAAAACTAATTTCTTGTTCCGAAATATTTACTAGAATAGGTGACTTTTTTTTATAAAATATAAAAAAGTTAAGCGTGGTTATAAAACAAAGGTAGCTATTTAGAAATATTTTTTATAAAAACACTAAAGACAATGTTAGAAATTTTTAAGCATGTTGAATCTCTCAAATTCATCGCAACGTTAATTTTATGATAAGCTGAACCATATTTTCGCATTTTTTACACTTATTATTGAATACTATGGTACAACTCCAACCGCAACACGATTTAATTCAACATCTTCTAATGATTCCAGAAAATTTACACCATATTATAGTTTAAAGCACACTGCTGATATGATTGTTCGGTGTAGTATCCAGTTTTCTAAATGAGAGTGTACAGTAAGAGTTTTTAATACCTTGGTTTGACGATTTTTAAATAGAATAACATTAATGCAACCGTCAGACAAGCTGTCTTCTTTATTAAATGAGCAATTACCCCTATCAAAAGATCGGGACTGCAAGCGAATAAAAACTTTTTCTTTTTCGAATTTTCATTTTTAGAGACGATGTCTTATTCAAATTACGCTCTCCTAATCAAAATTACCTCGTTACCTCCATCTTGCTCTCTCCTTAATCTGCAATCTGCCCTTGTAGAAAAACAGTTACTTCATTGTTCACCATCAGCACCAGAACCAGCCACGTAAGCAAAAGATTTAGGAAGTTAAAACATTGGCAGAAGCTTTTCTTGCATTTATTCAAGTCTAAGAAAAAAAAAAGACTTTCTTCGAATTATGACTTTGGCTGCCAACTGCTTTCAAGTCATCACCTGGAATTGTGATCGTTTTTTTTATTTTATTCCCTCGGCGTTTTTTTTCTCCTTCTGTTTTATGCAGCAGGGTGCTATACCATTTCTTTTGCTTTTTGTTTACGTTTTTGTGGTTGCTACCATCGTGTGACATGCCTATTTTTGTAAGGATTAATTTTCCCGGTTTCCTGGCGCCCCCAGAAACTAGGCACAAACTTCGGTGTATTTTTTAATCAGACGAAGCGAAACAGCCGAACGAACGAAGATAACCGATTATTGCTCGAAGGTAGCACGTGGAGGCAATGGGACACAAACATTCGAAAAAGGTTAGTTATTTTATTTTTTGATGATACTGTTTCAAAACTCCCCTGAACGCGAGGAATATTCAGAAACTAGTGTTCAGCAAATTTTTATTTCATTATTTGAAGTAACTGAAAACAATGTTTTGAAACCTTCGAAAAACTCGAAAATTTTCCTTAATCTCTTCGCGTTTCAATGCTTAAATAACTATAATTTGCGATCATTATTCCGATAGATTAATCAAGAAAACATTTTAAATATATGATCTTCAAATAGGGAGTGGAATAGAATTCCCAATTTAAGAATTCTCATCTTAATTTTATTACTTTACCCAGAAGTCGATTAATACAGTATATAAAGTTTTATTTTCGTTAGTCAGAGAGGGTTAAAGTGAATACATCCTTAAATGTTCAGATTTAATGAATGATAAAACTACTATCAGCATTAAACCATCAGAGATTAACTAAGACATCGTTAATACTTTTGTTCGGAGAACTAAGAAATTACAAGACTACCATTGCTCATAGAGATAAGCTATGTGATATTACCATTTAAATTCTGAAGAAGTTTTAAACCCCAAAACTTTAAGAACATTTCGAAAGTTCTACCATTTGCGTCTCTCCACACTGTAAAATTACGGTACAAAGTATCCAGTTTTAACGTAAAATATTACACCGCAGTTTTTACTGTAATATTTACTTAATTGGAGTGATTCAGTGATTTTACGGTAATTATTACTTAAAAAATACGGTATATCAGATTTTTTTTTTTGTTCCGTAACATGTTCTGGTGAAAACGGATTTTACGGGATAAAGTACCGGTGAAAAGTAAGCCAAAAAAATAACATTATTTGTTTCATTTAAGAAATTTAAGGATAAATTATTAATTAAATATGACGTTAAGGTCTCGTACTAATTCAAATATGAGTTGCTGTGATTATAAAATACTGAGCTGGGTATCAGTATTTTTTAAATTGTTTATCATCATCTTATATGTTAGAACTGTTACAAAATGTGTCGAAATAAAATCTAAAATTCACTTTTTTTTCAGTAAGAGGTGTTTATTGTTAAAGGAAAAGTTGCATGAAAAAATAATTTATAGAACTTGTAATTCAGCGAAATTCTTTGAAATGAGTATAAGTGTTTCTTCCTTTTAATTTTAATGAATAATTCAAGGAAAAAAGTGTGTTCGATTTTTATTAGAGAAAATTATGCTCGAAAGTTTCACTTAATTTCATTTCGAATTATTGAAAATGTTTCATTTTTATTAAAGTCAAAAATATTTAAAAGTTTCACTTCCTTTAAATTTCCCTTGAGAAAATAATGCCTATAAGTTTCTCAGTTTAATTTTAAAAATGCGTTAATTTTATCATGAATAATTTAAAAAAGATTCATTTTTATTTGAAGCAATTAAGTTTAAAAGTTTCTCCTCTCACTGTTTCATTTTGAATAGTAAAAAAATATGTTTGGTTTTTAATATGAGATAATAAAGTTTATTCTATTTTAAAAGTTATTCTCTTTTAAATGAATATTAATAAAATATTTTATTCGATAAAAAATTCCAGTAATAAATGGTTTTTAATAATGTTTATTTTATTTATTATTTATCTTTTATAGATTTTGTTAATCAATATGGTATAGGATTTAATTGAATATATTTTTAAAATATATTGTTTGAACTATATATAGTATTTTAACCTCTTTTGTGATAAACTATAAAAAGCAACAATCAATCATTCCGAATTACGAAAAATATTTAACACAAAATGATGTTCTCGGGGAAAATGCTTACTATCGCAAATTTATCGTAATTATTACCATTATTTTTTTCATTATTTGGTTTTTATTTTGTCCGAAAGAAGTATCTTCTAATTTTTTTTTTAATGCATATTAATGCAACATTAAAACAGAACAAGAAACTTTCACATGCAATTGATGCTCCAAAAACAACAAACTTGCTGTGGCAAAATTTACTTCATAAACATGAAAAATTTATGTCACCCCTTCCATAGTCATATTCTTCGTAGGCCGAATAATTTTAGAGCGTCTTAATGGTTTACTTAAATGGTGAACAAGCTGGAATTTTATTGATCATATGGAATTTGAAATCTTAATTTCTATGTATCAGATGGTCGAACAGTCATGTAATCTGTGGTACTTTGAAGAAACAATAGCAGTCACACAAAAAGGAATTTTTTCTCAAGTTGTGATTAGCATGTAAAGCTTATAATTTCTTGCATTTAAATATAACACACTTTCGTGAGAATTTTCGTTTTATCCTGGTATAATTTTATCTTGTACAATTTTAGTCTCATCGATATATAGCCAAAAATCTATAGATAAAACTAGTTGTAGTGAAGCACACATTCTAACCCAGGCAGCAGTGTAAGGTTGGTTTTAACGTTGTCAACAACCTATATTACAAAGCCCCAAAATGTTTATAAATGATTGGCAAATAAATCCTGCGAGCTTGAAACATTATTAAATATAACTATGACAGTTTACGTGCTATAAGGTTTGCATTAAACTTGCATAAACAGCCCTTTCATTTGAGATTGAATCTGCCTTTGCAAAAAAAGGGTTGAAAATTCTTCTAAAATATAGGATGAATCCTCCTTTGCAAATCAAGGAAAGAAAGCGCTCTCAAACCGAAGATAAATTGACCTTCTCAGGGTTTATTTTAGATTTTATGACCATCAACAAAACAAGGTTTATTTGCATAGGATTTTATATACTTTCCTTAACACTTTAAAAGTGTAGATTGGCCTGATCATTAAGTTTGCAACGCAAACAAAGTGTTACATTTGAGAGCTTGGACGAAACTAGAATGAAAAGAAGGCAAAAATAAAGTTTGCAGTAAAAGCTGAAAAGGAGGAACTTTTTCCTGCTTTTATTCAATCTTTAAAGAAGCAAGCTTAGCACACTAATCTTTTTACTAAGTTTAAAAAAGGATTCATTAGTCACCCTTTCGATGCCAACCAAATGAAAATGAAAATACAACGTTGCCTGATGTCTGGGAAATTTATTTAAAAATACTAAATCTTTACTTATTTATACATAATAAATAATTTGTTTATTTAATTTTTTTTCTTAAACTTATTAAGTTCTTATAAAGATTTAGTCATTTTCTTGGATAACTGCTTTTACTTCTGCACAGTGTTCAAAGAAGTATCAATTACTCCAATTTGAATTGAAACGTTGCCAGTTCCCAGAAGAATATTTGCAGACAAGTGGGCGACGCAACAATGAATTTGGGATAAGTCCAGCTTTCTTGGGACAAAGTAGCTTTGAAATATTTTTACCCTTAACCCTTTTTTTTCTGAGAACATGAATTACATAGTATCTTTTTTCCTCCTAATTCATTTGATATCCTTTTTCCAGTTGTCAATAGTTTATGGATCCAGATTTAAGACTTGGAAGTTCTCAGTTGGTGCATACATGGTTCATTTAAATGATGGAAACATTTATTCCACTTAAGTTTTCCCTAATTGATTGTGACTGTCGTATTTCGAAATTTCAACAATACCAAACTTGATGACGTCTAAAAATTTATATGTGTTTGTGAACCAGCTAAAAACAACTTAACGTATTGAGTTTTGTTTTGATTACAATCTGATATTTAGTAATGAAGTACCACGCTTTATTCCTTTCCCAGTTCCTTACGGTATTTCAAAGATTCCATTTATTCTTGCAGCGCCAGGACTATTTTCAAAACGAAGATTTTCTTCAAACGTTGCAAGGACACTGCGCCGTGATGAGTTCAGTGTCACTTACCACCGCCACTTTTAATAGCTCTGAAAAACTTAGTGACACCACCACCTCTTCTACGAAGAAGCAGGTGCTGAGGAATTTTACCAGAAGTTACAGTTTGACAAGCAGTAGTTGCAGCAACAGTGACGACGCAACTGCCTACAAGCTCTGCTCGTCTGACAGAAGATTCTCGCTGGACGACGTATTAGACGAGAAAGAAGAGGTTAATCTTTCTCTTTTTTATATATAAATATATAATTTATGTATGGAAAATAAAGTTGCATCAGATTCAAATTTATTGGGTGCTATAACATTTAAGCAAATTAATCTATTTTATAGTTTTATACACTGCAAATGTTTATACGAAAATTTAATAAATGTGTTGTTTAAAAACTTACTATAGTGAAGAATTTTTAGTAAGTGTTGATAAAGCTATTTACATTTTTGACAGTTTTGCTGAGCAATCTGCAGAAGCTATAAAGCGGCAAATACATGATTCATTTTATAAAAGTACTGTTTTGCAAATCTAAATTAATATTTATCTACATAATTTCCCCTCAGACACATGTTTTCTCAAAATTGATTACCAAAAAAGGAATGAAATATATAGCAATTTTTTTTCTTTCAAAAAAGACGTTTCCTACGGCTTTTAAAACCTGTTGACGTAATAAATAAATTTTTTATTTGCCATTGTTATGTTCTGATAAATTATTTAGATATAACTTAATATATATTCCTTGATAGAATAGTCTTATTTAATATATTGTTCATGAATAATCTCAGTTAATACTTCTAATTACATTTATGGCCTGATGTATCTATCGTTTTTTTTTCTAATCTAGACATAAAAATTTTTTATCTACTAGTTTTCACATTGTAACTGCAATGATTTTTGCCAACTAAAAGCAGTTATCTAAGCTTTAGCCAAAAAATAGTTTATCTATTTTTGTTAGAATCCTACTGCACCATTGGTTTTCTAATGGTTTTGATTAAAAGATAAAAAAATATGACTCAAAATTAAGTTTAAATCAATGATACAAGCTTTAAGTGCTGAACATAAAACTACATTTTCGATAGAACATGAGATTCTTTTTTTAATGAATTTTCAGACGCAAAGGTTGAATTATTAGTGTGTAATTAACACCAAACAAACTCTGTGTCTAAATTAACTAGTATGTTAACAATTAACGTGGTTTTTGCAGGAACTGAAACCGGATAGGACATCTTCGCTCTCTCAGTATCTGAACTCTTCGGAAGGAGACATCAGAGTTGAGCACAAGAGCAGAGATTTCATCCGTCATTCCTCCAGGACATCGTCAACGGAAACTATGTCCAGTTCAGAAAACAAACGAGGTTTCTTCACCAAAAAGAAAGTTTTAAATGATATTTCTTCATCATTATCATCATTGTCAAAAGTGAGTGGAGTATTTCCGTACAATTTATTTTTTGTAAATTTTTTCTGCAAATTACAGGGAAAAAATGTCGATTTCTGATTATTAGATCGAAAGTTATTTACGCCACACTTCCAAAAGAAAAAACGCAATATTTTAATATGGCGGACTATATATGTAAAAAATAAGCAAAATCCATCTCTCCAGCTTCAGTTCTTGACAATTCTCTTTCTTTTTGAAACATACCCATTTTTTTTGTAATTTAAATTGTCAACTCAAGTTTTATTGGGTAAGGAACCACAAAACCTTATAAAATATGACTTTTGACAAATTAAAATGGGTATGGTGGGAACAGTTTGCGTATTAGGGATTTATACATTTCGCCAATCAGAAACTTGCAATTTAGAAAGAAGTCTTACTCTTACCTGCCAACAATCAAAACAATACAGATTCCACTCTAGTTTGAACCTGAAAAGGAAAATCTTCATCATTTCACGATATGGTGACTACTTTTTGGTCCATTGAACTTATTTTCACCTGATATGTTTTAGCATAAGTGGCACAAATAAAGTTCCAGTTAAAATAAAACCTCAGAAATAAAACCTAAAAATAAAACCTTAAAATAAAACACCAGTGTTCACCTCAGAAAGTGGGCTCAATCAATATTGATAAAAGCTTCAATAAAACATAACAGATTCCCCTCTGATTTGATCCTGAAAATGAAAATCTTCATCAATTCACGACTACTTTTTAGTTCGTTGTGCTTTTTTTTTCGGCATAAGCTACACAAAAGTATTGATTCAAAGAAAAAAATGACGCTCTCATTAAGAAACACTTGAAAGTTATATAAACTAGAAAATATCACACAAATGAAACTATCAACTCTGTTTTTTGAAAAGTTATTTTTATCCCTTTCGAAAACAATTCACCAGAAACTATTGCATAATCATGAACTCGAACAGTAAAGATATCGCAAAATTTTTAAAATAAATGTTAGCGAACCAGGCGAAAGAGGACGAATTAAATCAACGTGACTTTATTACGGCAATGNGAACAGTGAAGATATCGCAAAATTTTTAAAATAAATGTTAGCGAACCAGGCGAAAGAGGACGAATTAAATCAACGTGGCTTTATTACGGCAATGCTTTTTAAAGCTTATCGCGAAAAAAATATGAAACAATATCTTATCTGAGAGTACTTTCTTCGACAAGCCATATTCCATCATTAGGTGATTTGCGTTTAGGTTTTTTATGTCACGAGTTCCGCTTCCTCGCAGCCATTCATAAAATAGCTCACGCGGAAGTCAATCTAAGAAGTTATAGTGGATTACTTTCAGTTTCAGTTTCCTTAAATACACAAGAAATTTTAATTTCTTGATGATTTATTCATTGTTGATTGTTGTAACTAGTTTTTTGTAGAAATTTAGCAATTTTTTAATGAATTGATTAGATTTTTTAAAAAAAATATTTTGCAGTATTTTAAATTTCATGCTAATGTGCCTAGTTGCAAAACATGGTGTGTAGTTTGTGTTTTTGTGAAATGGTGTACAAATTTGGTTTGGTTTAAAGGTTACTACAATCACTAAAGCATCCAGTACAAAGACTTCATCCCAGTCGGCGCAAAATCTCCACCAAGCCTCGACGAGCGAATCAAAAGTAAGTTATAAAAACATTTCCCCTTGAATTTTTAGAGATAAAGCGCCGTAGCCAAGAAAGGTTTCAAAATTAAATTTATATAACATGCATTTTTTTACCTCTTGATATTTTTTCAAAAATGTAAACACATGTTACTGCAATTTGAAATTTTCGGTCAAATCTTCCTAACGTTGTTCTAACGTTAATATATTGCTATCTCTTAACTAAGCACAGAACATTCTATTTAAAAAATATCAAAAGCACATGCATATTTTGTTACAATTTTGAAATGATTTTTCCCTTAAATATTTCCGTTAATTTAATATTTAGGGCAAATCCAGCCTTGGCTAGCTCTAAGTAATTACATTAGAATAGTTACAACAATTAGCTGAATATAGAAATGAAATGAAAGTTTTTGAATTTATTTCCCATATTGTACCATGGTAATATTGCAAAATCGCTGCAATCTTAATGAAATGTTCAGTTGAAATAATCTTGAGGACATAGATAAGTTGGTTCAAATTTTACATGGTTAATTATGGTTTCAAGAAATTTCCTTAATAGTATGGTTCAACTTTGAATTGACTTTTTTCAGAGTGCGTATTATATGGCTAAAAGTGTTATTATGGCTTATTTAAAATATTTTTCCCCTAAAAAATATTTGCTGGTAATTTGCGTAAATTATTTCAAAACCATATAGAATCGTTTCAAAATAATTTTCCTCTTTTTTAAATAATTTTTATTTATTTTTAAATTCTGGGTTTCTCTAATAAATAGTCTCTTTAATCAATAATCAAAATTAGTTATTAGTAACAATAATTTATTTCCTACAATAGTTCAGAAAATATATGGCGGAAGTGATGTTAGAAAAAACTCAGTTATCTCCCCCCCCCCCCACTTTGATTGATTTAAGTAAATAAATATATAATTGAGGTTGATAGTATATATATAATTGTGCCTTTTTCAATCCAAATTTCAAATATATCAGTCCGAAACGATCTAGAAGGTTACAAAATAACACAAAAATAAAATAGAACAGAACGGAAGTTCTGTGACTAACTGATGCTTCTGAGATTTACCAAATGCGTTGAGCAAAGTCTATAAAATTAAAAAAAATTGCCATTGGAACAAAAAGTATGTGTTTTAAATTCAGAATTAAATCGAATAAAAGAACTATTTAAAGTCAAGTACATGAAATAATTTCCCACAAATTGTTTGCCTTTTGATGATATCATTAATTACCAATTTTTTTTTCAAGTGTTTCCCACATTATTTTGTATAAGTTTCGTGAAACAATGTTATTCTTTTATAATTGTTTGCTTTATATTTCTTTCTTCAGGTGTTTCAGCGCTCTAAGTGTGGCTCGCCGATGAGTCCCTGCCGCCTCCCCCAGTCTCCCAAACCCCTTGCAGACAAGATCCATGAGGACCTTGAGTTGCTGAGAAGAGGTGGAGAGTCCCCCGAGTTGGAACTTGCCATGGGCAGAATAATTGCCAGAATGGATGCCCTGGGTGTGTGTCTCAAAGGTACAAATGAAAAACTAGACAGATTGGACACGATTGATTGCGGCGACTGGGCAGTGGTCCCAACATCCACACGCAAAATGGAGATGGAAGTTTTGGGTGCTATGAACGATCTCATCAGGAAGTCTTGGGCAGTCAGTACTATTGGATACGACCTGGGATCCAGTCTTTGTAGAAGCCTTTTAACCAATGGTCAGTTAAATGTGATTTACTTAGATAAGATTTATTGATTAAACAAGAAAATTTATCTTTCAAATTTAAATTTAAAAAAATCCAAAATATTAAGGGGGTATTTCGAAGCATTTTCGTCATGATAAATGAAGTCCCGCAGTGGACTGATCGTTAAGACACGGTTCCCAGCAGAGCATCACTGGCTGAGGTCAGTGTGCGGGTGGGTGACCACTTGGATAAGTCTGTGTGGGGACCAAGCGTGTGCGGTATTGGTCCTCATTAAACTTTTATACCGTAAAATGCTCGACTTCGCGTGCAGGTCGTGGGGCTACCGAAGCGGGGGTGCCATCCCCTCTGCGGAGGATCAAAATTGTGATGGCATGTCTTCGGATCATCCTCAGGGATGTTTCCCAGACCGTCGCCAAAAGCCCATTGTGCAGCTCTAGTGAGACGTAAATGAATTATAACAACAACCAGATAAATAAAAAGGCCACTGTTTGACTAGTGAGATACGCAATCACACTTCGGTAATTTGCGAGCTACTCACTCATTCGCAGTCAAGGGATTTAATAATTAATTTATTTAATAATTAATTTATTTAGTAATTAATTTATTTAATAATTGTAACAAGGAATTGAATAATTTCTGGATGATAACAATCCTTGTGAAAAGTAGATATTACTTGTGTGCAGATTCCAATGCGAAATAACTTGAACGAATTTGTAGCAGCTTATGTTATAATGTTAGAGAATATATTTCCAACCCTTTTAATTTATAAGCGATTTTATATATAAAGCAAATCAGTGGTAGAATTTTTGCTTCATCAAAAAAGGAGGATTTAGAAAGCAATATTTTAACGTAAAAAATGCGAGAGGATTGGACCATCTCTAAATTCAAATTTGACTTTTGAAATTGCTCAAATTAAAATTAGCATTGAAAAATATATACCTTTTTACAATGCATTTTAAAATGGGTACAAAATATAAAATTTTCCTTTTTCCATCCAAGAAAATATTTAAATCTAGAGATCTTTTTTCTCGACAGATTTTGCTTATTGCACCATTTGATCAGCTTACAGAGCAAAATATCGTTTTTGCTTGGTGCAATGAAGTAGGATTCCGCATCTGTAGCGTTAAACTCTACATTTAATCAATCCGAACTGAACTGTAGTCTAAAAGGGCAAGATTTAACATGAAATAAAAATGGTGTGTGTACTTACAGAAATGGATAGACTAAATACATTTTTAATTTTTTTTTCCTTTAAATTTTCTTTTAAATAAAGAAAATGTTTGTGTTTGTAAGTGATAAGTTTACTTAGTTTATCTCTGTCTAGCCACATAACCTCTTTAGGTTAAAAAATGTTAAGTGGAGAAACTATAAAAAAGAACCATTTACAATAAAAGCTGCATTCAATCTACTTCCCTATAATAAAACTAAAAATAGTATAGAGTAATAATAAGCAATATTTAACTGCGATCTTGTATGTTTTGAAATAGAAGTTATTTTTACAAATTAAAAGTGAATAAATTGGTCAAAAAATTATTTTTTTTCAATGGTAATACAGTCAAACCCCGCTATAGTGAACATGGCTTATAGTGAACTCCCGGATATAGAGAACGAAATGCTCAGTCCCTTGCCTTGCTATACACGTATAATGTTCTTTTTAGTGGATATAGTGAACCAAAAAAGTGAGGAAGTTGGATATAATGAACTTTTTTCTGTCTTCGACTGATTTCTCTCTCCCCACTTTCTTTGTAATAATTTTGAAATTTCTACTTCAAAATACATATACCGATATGCATATACCGGCTAATACATATACCGATTTTTAAAACCATCTATAGAAACTACTTTTATGTGCTCGAATGGCAGGTTAGACAGGTTTAAAAAGCGGAATAACAGAAATTCAGGAAAAATTATCTGAGAGTCGGGAAGTGTTTCCATATCTGATGTTGAGGATTGCTCATCAGCTAAAGATTACTAATTTTTATTTGTACGCAAGACGAAGAGTGATGAAAAATAACACATTTTTTGCTACTACATAATATTTTTCAGTCATTTATATGAATATAATGTAATAAAAGGGAAGAGTTTGGGAACCATTAGTGAAATTGCCTGCGTAACGGATATAGTGAACTCCCGGTTATAGTGAACAGAAATTTCGGTCCCTTGAAGGTTCACTATAGCGGGGTTTGACTGTAATATTAAATTATGTTAAGCCATATTTAACAGCGTTCTTCTTAATTCTAAAAGCTTTTATTTATTTATTTTTATTTATTTATTTTTATTTATTTATTTTTATTTATTTATTTACAAAATAAAGGCAAGCAAATCCATCAAAGAATACTTTTTTAATGAAAATATGAAATTATATTAAACATTTAACTGTGATTTTCTTTATTTTGAAATATAAGCTATTTTTACATAATAAACGTAAATAAATTAGTCGAAAAATTGATATTTTTAATGTTAATAACATCAAATTATGTTAAGCAACATTCAAATGCGTTTCTCTTATTTTTGAACATGAAGTTATTTTTACAAAATAAGCGCAAATAAATTGGTCGAAATATTTGTATTTTTAATGGTAATAAAAATAAAATTATGTCAAGCAGCATTTAGAGGAATTCATTTTATTCTTGAAAGCTCTGTAAGTTTTACAAAATAAAAGTAAGCAAATCGGACCAAAAAAATTATATTAAGCAACATTTAACTGCATTCCTCTTTATTTTGGCAGATCTGTTATTTTTTTCAAAGGATTAGTAAACAAATTGGTCAAAAAGTTGTCTATTGAAGGGAAATGATTTAAAATTATAATATGCAACATTTATCTACATTCCTCTTAATTGTTATTTAATTAATTTATTTTTTACAAAAAGAAGTTATTTTTTTAATGTAAATCTATACAAATATAATAAATAACATTAATCGCGTTTCTCTTAATTTTGAAATAGAAGTAGTCTTAGTAAAGGAAAAGTTATCTTGTGCAAATGCAATTAATGTGTAATGAGCAATTCAAACCTCTAATTACAATTTTAATTCTTACTTTAGTGTTCGTTTTATCTTTTGCGTAATAGATAAGTAAGTGAATGCTCGATGTAAGAGATAACGAGAGAAGAGTTTTCTTAATTGTTTTAAAGATGTTTAAACCTTATCTCTCTGAGGTGTTCTAATCACTTGAAGCAAGAGATAAAAAAATTAACAGGAAAACAAAACAAGCACACTTTCTGATGAAATCGCAGCGTAATATGTCGAATCATGTTTAACGTCTTTTTTTTCTTTTTTAAAACGTGGACTCTGCTCTCATTTTAAAACTATCTCTGCCAGAAATCACATCATTTTCTGCATTTGTGTGACAAAGAGTTTTAAATACTATTCTTTCAATATGAATTTCGATGATTTACTGAAGTTTTTAATTAACTGTTTAACCTTAAGCGTTATAAAACTGATCGTTCAAATTTGTTTTTTGAGAAAGAGTAGATGTTTTACTTTAAATATTTTGAGGAAATTGAAGTCTTATCGTGTTAACCTTTATCCAATGGTATTATGTAGTTAGAATGCATGTAGTTTTTAATTCATTCAAGTATGTTAATATTTTCCTAATTTTTAACGAAAGTTTACTTTGTATTTAAATTAATAAAATATTTTTTTGTGATTTTGTCGTTTTGGTTATTTTATAACGGGTTGGATTTATGAATAAATATAAATAGACAAAAATAAATGAATAAATAATAATAAAAAGCTTTGGTTTTTACTAATAAAGTGTCAAGTGAGTTTAATTATAACAGAAATTGTTAGCTTGCAATTAAAACATCATTACTGTCTTATTATAAAATTGCTTAATAATAATTAGCCTTCTTATTCTGGATAATTATGCACATTTTCTACAAAAGATATTAAACTTTAGATATTTATGTTTGCATAATTTTAAGGACATGTGAGTATGATAACATAATTTGAAGATTTTCTTTCGTCGTATTTATTTTAGGCAGTTATAAAATTTTGATATTCTGAAATATATTCCACTACTTCAAGCTTAAACTATTACTAACTTTGCCAAAAAGTACTTGTGTTTAAATAGTTTTAAGGACATTTGTGTATGTTGACAAAATTTGAGGATTTTCGCCTGTCGTATTTTTTTTTTAAAATTAAATTTATTTTAGGCTTGTTATAAAATTTTGATAATCTGAAATATATTTCACTGCTTTAAACTTAAAAAAAAAAATTCATTTCGCTATATTTATTATTATTATTTGACATCTAAAAGGAAATAGTGAAGTATTTTACAATTTTTTTTTCTTTTAAAAAATAAAATTTAAATTAGCTTACTCAAATTTTTGAATTACGATAATTCAGTTTCATGCATATTACTATGTTTTGTTATTTATTTCAAGTTATTTGCATTAACTGTTCATACGAATTTGACACTAATTTTAACCGTACCAACTTTCAGGTGTTCTAGATATATTGCTGAAACATTTTAACTCAGAAGACAGTGTCTTGCAGTTTGAAAGTGCCCGTCTGCTAGAACAAGCCCTTACAACCGAAAATAGAGAATACGTTGTCAAGCATGGTCTGGCCACGGTAGTCCGTGTGGCCTGCGAATGTTCCAAATCATCGAGTGTCGAAAAATCCAGGATTGGAATGGGAATATTGGAACATCTTTTCAAAAATTCAGAACGCACATGTCATGAAGTGATTCGTTTAGGTGGACTTAAAGCTATTTTGTACGAATGCAGGAACTGTGATGTAGAAACTTTAAGGCATTGTGCAGCAGCTTTAGCAAATTTATCTCTTCATGGTGGCCCTGAAAACCAAGAGGCCATGATACAGCATAAGGTGAATATTTAATTATATCTTGCGACTTTCTAATTTATTTTTATTCATTTTAAGCTCTAAAAGATGCTGGGAAATTAAGATCCACAATACAAATTTAAGATTAAGCAAATCAGAATCTCAAAATGTAACACTAAGGAAGTCATTTTGACTGCTTCTAATTTCAAATAAAAAAACAATGATGTATATAATTTCTTAGAATTTTGTACAACATATAATTTTTTTATTGTTAATATTTACTAATAACTTGTTACATAACTGTAAATAATGGAAAAATATTAAAAAATAATTTTAAACAAATTCCTTTACACATTATTTATTCTTCTACAATCCAGTCATTTTAACTGCTTTTGGGTAATATAGGTATATACTAAATTTCAGTCTTTCTAATGTTGAAACTACAATAAATTAGAATCTTGAATTTGAATTTAAGATTACAGCAAATTAGTATTTAAATTCTTATAGGTAACATTTTCAAAAGTTATACTTTTGCTTCCAGGTACTTTGTGCTATATGAGTACACGTTTTTTAACACATTAGGACCCTCATTTAAAATTATAAATAATTCGAATCTTGATTTGGAATTTAAAATATTTTCAAATTGGAAACTCAATTTGAAATTTAAAATTATAAAAAAATTAGGATTTAAATTCTTGTAGCTAGTTTTTACAAAATTTATATTTTTATTTACAGGTTCTTTTGTGCTGTGTAAGTGCACATTTTAAAAATTTTTTAAGGCAATTTTCTTTTACAAAATCTATAATTATTTGTCTTATCATTATAATGTGATAGATTTTAACAGGTATGTTGTAAATAAATAAGTGTAATAAACCGGCAAGGGAATAATTATATTTAACAATTAAATCTTAAAATAAACTTTTTCAATTTACTATATTTACTGGATTTCATTTTTTTATTAGCATTTCTACTTGATTTTTAGTGAATTCGTAACTATTTTACACATTGTTTTGCTCATATTGATTCAAATTGTCTCAGTTCATATTTGCAAAAAAAATAACTTATCACAAAGTTTCTTGTGTGCAAGATTTTTTCCTATACCGTGTTTACCAGTGAAAAGCAATATTTTAATAATTTTTAAAGAAACTTGCACTAATTTTTTTTTTGAGCAAATATTTTTTTCCCAAATGATTTAATAGTAAATAAATTACATTTTTGTTCGAAATATGTAAAATAATTTATCATTATAACCCAACATTATAAACTGAGAACAAGTTTGGCAAATATTGATTAATAACTAATTATTATTTGCTTTTTAATTCTTAAACAGATATGATCCATTTTAGGCTTCTGAATGGCTCTTCCCACTTGCGTTTCATACTGACGACAATATTAAATACTATGCCTGCTTAGCCATCGCAGCCCTAGTTGCAAATAAAGAGATAGAAGCTGCTGTTTTACGTTCTGGGACCTTAGATTTAGTCGAACCATTCGTCACAACGCATACACCGGATGAATTTGCACAAAGCACAGTTGCCCACGTTCACGGACAATCCAAAAATTGGCTCCTGAAATTGGTCCCTGTCCTTGATAGCAAAAGAGAAGAAGCCAGGAGTCTGGCCGCATTCCACTTTGCTATGGAAGCTGGTATCAAGAAGAAGCAGAATAATACAAATGTGAGTACTAACGTCTTGCAGATATCTATAAAGCTAAACAATGTGAAAAAGCATAAATAATATCACATAAGCACACATACATTGGGAGAAATTCCGGATCAAATTATGGTATAAAGTACCGGCACTTTAGGTGCATCATCCGTAAAATTCATTTTACCGTAAAATCCATTTTTTACGGTAAAATCTACCGTAATTTTTCAAACGATATTCAGTGATTTTACTGTAAAAATTACGGTATATAAGATTTTTGTTCCGTAACACGTTCCGATTAAAATGGACTTTACGGTAAAAAGTACCGGTACCCTGAGTGCCGGTGCTTTTTACCGGAATTCTTTAGAATGTAGTACTGCAGTTTATGCTCGATAAAAAAGATCATTATTCACTGTTGAAACAAAGAATGATTCTGCGTTTCGACACTGCAGAAGGTTCTTCTTTATTGAACCAAAATTATAGTACAGTGTGTTTTTATGTGTTATTTTGTGCTTTTTTTTTAATTACAACTCACAAGCTAAATTGTTCATTGTTAAAACAAATTTGCCGTTGAAAAATATTTTTGTTTTTAATTTTTAAAGAAATGATTTAGAAACTTGAGGTATTATCCACTGCAATCAAATCTCAGAATAATATTTTTAATTTTTTGTTTATAAAAAAACTAGATTTATAAAAGAATCTTTGAAGGTTAAATATCCATAATTCTATTTCTGGTCAATTACAACGAATTATGTTTTTAGTGCATTTTTAAAGTTTCGAAAACTACTTTCGAGGCAGTTAAGTAAATAATAAATGGAATGCGATTCTTTTAATAGAAGGCCCTTTATCATGTAATAATTTTATTGTTTTTCTGGAAAATAAAACTAGTCGTCTCTTTGTAATTGGTTTAATTTTTGAACTCTGTTTAGAGTATTGACATTTATTTTGTATTTGATGAAATTGTAAAAGGTTTTTACATACAATCATAAAATTTTTTAAAACATTACAACTTTTCCTTTAAGCTTTCTGATTAATCAAATATTGAAAGAAAAAAAAATTGAAAGCCGTTTTTAGACTTTAATAGGAAAATTCCGATCCATTCCACTGTTATGAAACATAAATAGATAATTATTTGTATAGTGCCTACAAATCATTTTAACTGTAAAAGACCACAGCTGTTTACACCGAATTCCTCGACAGTTTAACAGTTTATTGTAAATATTTTATTTCTAAGGATTTAACTGCCAACTTGATTTGGAAAGTTTTATACCAAACATATTTTTTAATGTGTGTCAATATTTGCAGTGTTATGAGCTATACGGCAGTTTTCTAAACTTTTCACTCTTTTTTTTTTCTTCCAAAATTCCCAAATTTAGTATAAATAAAATGCGTGAAAATGTTTTGTAATTTCTGCTAATTGATTATGTAATTATCGTGCATGTGAAAATACTAGAAAGTAAAATAGAATTGTTTTACTAAAATTCTATATTTAGGTTCTTGGCATTTTAAGATTCAATGGTTAAATGTCATAAAAACTTGTTTTAAGTCTAAAGTGATTATGATGCAAATTATTTAATATTAAGTTTTTTGAAAATACGGACTGTGGTTTGCCGTGATTAACATGCTAAAATTTGGTAATCACAACTAAATGGAATCGTTTTTGAAGTTTGAAGTAACTATTAAACTATTAAAACAGAAAATCTGGAACATAGACTATTAAAACAGAAAATCTGAAATGGATTTCACTGTTTAAAAATAGTTATTATTTAAAATTTAACTTCCTGATAAAAAATTAAATTTTCAAAAAATTTTCACTTTAGTTTGTATTCTGCGTGTTCTCTATTGCTTTTCGTGTTAGAAAAAAGCTTTAGAGCAAACACTAGTTAAACTAAAATAGCATTACACTCTAAGAAAGAGTAGTTAGAATTGTAGAGTTTGTCACAATGGTTCTCAGCTGCCTCAATGGTTTTGGAATTTCCTGTCTTGCAGAGGTTTTGATCTCCTGCCGTGCACGCTTGAGCTTGTTGGTTTCGATTCTTGAGTCGGTATTAGTGGCTATTCCCTCTGGCACAGGCTATTGGTCAGTTAATTTCTTGTAATGCCTATTGGTTACTCTTCTTTCTGTATGGGGTTATTGGATACTGTCGTGGTCAATAACTTTTTGGCACCTCAATTTAACAATTTGTTGTATGCTCTGAAGATTAGTTGTTTGTGCTTATCTTCTATCTTGTTTGTTATCAGAAGCCGTGTTTTAAACTTACAGTTTTGAAACCAGCTGTTTGCTCTTGTAAAGAATATTAGAAGCCGTGTTTTAAACATTTTGTTTTGAGACTAGTTGTTTGTTCTTGTAAAGAATATTAGAAGCCGTGTTTTAAACATTTATTTTGAGACTAGTTATTTGTTCTTGTAAAGAATATTAGAAGCCGTGTTTTAAACATTTAGTTTTGAGACTAGTTCTTTGTTCTTATAAAGAATATTTAAAGCCGCATTTTAAGCTTCGTATTTTGGGAGCAGTTCTTTGTTTTTATTAAGAATATCAAATGTCAACTTTTAAGCTTATTTTGAGACCAGCCGTTGCCGAATTTTAAAGTTGCAATTATAAATATTAATTAAAAGTTACTGTTATTAATTATTCATCTATTTTTTTTAATAAAGTAAAATCTGTCATCCAAATTTGAGATAATGACAATTTTTATTATGCATTCCTACTGATAAGCTTTTCCAAATCTATGGTACAAAATAAATAACTAAAATTCAAAAAAAAAAATCCTTTGAGTGGATCCCATTGCTTCTGATACGGTGTGTCAACAAAGTTAAAAGTGTTGATTGAACTCGAACACAGGCTTTTATTTGAGTATGCAAGTGCTGTGTTTGACAACAAATTGGTATCAATATAATTGAGTTCTGAAGTCTTCTTCTACGGAGATAAAGAAACCAGAAGAAAATCTTATCGAACTTAATGAATGTAAAAGCAAAAAAATATAGTATCTTAATCTGAAAAGCATCACTTAAAAAATGTGCGAAAACTTGGGCTCTGATTTCAGAAGTCATAAAAGCAAGAAAAAGTTGAAGTTACTTTCAAAGGTAAGAATGAAAATTGTGTTACTTTAATCCATTTGTGTCCAGCTTTTTCTAAAAGGGCCATTTCTTTTTCCTAAAAAGTAAAAAGTGATAGTACAAATGTTTTATCCTTTTGATGATGATATTAGTTTTGTCTACCATAAGACATCTTATTAGTAATAGAAATATAGATATTTGAATCTTAAGTCAAAGTCATTTCAAAGCTTAAGTGGTTGTCAACAGAAGAAAATATTCATTTATTTTATGTATGCAGTACTTAATTATGTGAAAGCGCTTTTTATATCATAGTAATACATCTGCTTGAAAATCATTGGATTAAATATCACTTTTATTTTATTTTTTTAACAATTTTTTTTTCATATACATAGGTTTTCCATGATATTGGCGTGGTGAGTGCCTTGAAGAAAGTTGCCAGTTCGCCAAATGCTATTGCATCAAAATATGCTGCTCAGGCTTTGCATCTGATAGGAGAGCAAATACCTCATAAGCTTTCTCAGCAGGTGCCTCTCTGGACGGTAGAAGATGTGGTAGAATGGGTGAAACAGGTAAATTTTTGTTACATTTCGAATAATTTGTACACTTAACCTAACTCTTTGAATTATTTTAAAACATAAAATATGCGAAAACAGTGTTTATTAGTATATTATGAATTGCCAATAAAAATCTCGATAATAATTGCATTTGTATTTCTCAATATATTTTAAAGAAAATGAAAAAAATCTCTCTTACATTTATTATTATATTGTAAATTAATTTATAATGAGTATCCCTCTCTAGTTATCATTATATTTTAAGCGATTGGGGATAAATTTGAACACCAATTAAATCTCCCTCTCTCTCTCAGAATTATTTCATGAAGCACTCAAGATGATTATCTCTATGATCTAAACAATTTAACGGCAATGAAACAATTATTATTAAATATTTTGATTTTTTTAACCCAATAAAAGTTACCAGCAATTACCCTAGCAATTATAATAACCTAAAAAAATTGAATAATAAATTTTGATAAATAATTATATAAAATAAAAATATAAATAAAATATAAATTTTCGACCGTGACATTCAAAATACTATAAACGACAATAAAAACCACTAACACAATAGTTATAGGCATAGTTCTTTTTTTTTTCAATAAAATAGTAATGATATTAATAATGTTTGCCATTATTTCCATGTATTTCATTAAAATGTTAGCATACTTAAAATATACCATTTTTTCTATAAAATGTAATAGAAGAGGCAAACGAAAGAAGTTCTTTACTTTTATAATATCAATTTTTGACTATATATAGTAAACATATTTTAAATAACCATTCATTTCACCCATATAATCGTATGAATTGCCAAAACAAAGTTCTATGTCAAATAAGTGTTATAATAATAGGTGCCCGAATCCTTAAAAGTGTTTGTACTATTTTAAAAAAACGCACTAATACTTTTAAACACTGCCTAAGTAAGGGAATTTTTGCATTATAAAAATTTTGGTGGTAGAGAAACATAATTTTCTAAACACGATTTAATCATTTATAATTTATCTAAGTTTTCTTAATTTTTAAAACTAGAGCTATTATACCTAATTTCAAAGTTCCATTAATAATGACTAGCATATTTAAATTGGTTTTATATTTTGAAAAAAAATTATGTCTTTAAGTTAGTTCATTTTTATTATTATTAAATTCTCATATTTTGCACTAATTTTTATTTCAATATGATGAAAATATGGAAAGAAAAGGATTAAATATTTAGGCATTTTTAGAGGCGTCTTTGATTGTTTTAAAAATAAAAATTAGCGATACATATTTTTATCCCCACACTCTTCACCTGATTTTCCAGGGAGATTGTATGGATTTTTAGTCATTGGATTCGGAACTCCAAAAATTCGCATTACCCCTCCTATTCACTATTTCCTACCTTCACCACAAGAATGTCCGTCTTAATAGCGTGAGAATAATTTTTCGGACCCTTGTTTCTAAGTTCACGGTGTGTGTTCCTATTGGAGTTTATCACTGTAAAATGACAATTCTAATGCTATTGTTCGTAATTAAGTCCCCGAAAAATACTGAAAAAGCTATTATAAAGCTATAATTTTTAAATGGGAAAGAACATTTGTTGTTAAATATTTAACTGAAATTTCATAGTTGTTTACTTATATTCATTAAAAAAAACCCTCTTTAATTTATCTAAACAAATATAAAGCTATAGTTAAATATTTATCAGCAAAAAATTACATTAAAAAACTTTTTTGTGTAGATTTGGATAGTAATTAATCAATAACTATAAAGCGTATTTTAATTAAAGTCGTGATTTAAAATACTAAAAATTTGTTTAAAAGTGTTAATTACAAATAATAGGAGCTATATGAGTACAATATCAAGATAATTAAATTTTGAAACCAAAAGAATTATTTTAAAACTAGTTAAATAAATTTTAAGGAACATTAAAATGTTAAGAATAAATTTACGTGAAATTATAATTTACGTGAAAAATATTTGAATTTTTTATTTATTTATTATTACTGAAATTTTTTTTATTTTACTTATTGTCATTTTTGTAATAAACAACGCATCTTGTATGTTTATTACAAAAGAATGCTACTGCTACTTGTAAGTTCCGTTAAGCGCAAAAAAAAAATTTTTTATACTAAAACAAAATTTAATTTGAAATAAGATCACGCAACTTGCGAATTACTTTAGAACTGTTTCAGGATTTATTCTCTATCTGTGAATAAATAACCATGTATTGTTTGCTCTATAGATGTTAAGAAAAAAAAAACTGCGACATTTTTTCCAGTTTTTTGGGAACTATTCACAAATTATTATAACATTTACGATTTTGTCTTTATATCTAACTTAGCTTTGTAAAGTGTATACATTTTGTAATTAAAAATAAATTCTTAAAAATTCAATCTTTATACAAAATTGTTTTTATATAGACGGGTTTCATAGGGAAATAAATAATTGATTTTCAGTGTTATAAAATGTCTAAAAATTGCAAAAAAGTAAAAATAAAACTCAATGCTCAAAATCACTACAAATCAAGAGCATCAAAATCACTTTTGGTTAAACTATTGCGATAATATTTTCTGGTATTACATTAACATCCAAAATTTTGTGGATGAAAAATCGTAATCTCAAAAAATAAAAAATAAACCATTTTGATTAATTTTTGTATTTAAAATTAGGCATTAAATTTAATACAATATCTTTTACTTATTTATTTTTTCTAAACTGCACTGACATTACTATTTTATTTTAAAACCCGTGGATGAAAATCACACCATCTACTGGGGTTAAGATTGACTGATAAACATAATATTTGTGAGTAAAGTATTATAAACGTTGGGAATGATAAGAAAGCTATGTTTAATCGCAAATATCGGGCTATTATTGAGAAATACATGGGGCTGTTAGAATATTTCAAATCTTTTGGCACATTTGATTTTTGGAGAAAATCGTGGTAGAGAGCGGGAAAATCTTATCTTAAAGAGGTTATCTTGTCGAAAGAAGCATTCTTTAAACAATGATAAGTGATATTGTTTATTTTAAAGGGCTTTTATTTAGACATAGTTGTATACCTAAAAATGAAGCAAAAATGGTGGATTTTGCATTAATTATTGTGAATTTTAACTATTTTTATTTTTGCTAAGTAAAATTACAAATATTTTTAGCACTCGAGTGTTTTTCTTTGATTAAGTTTAACTTACACGACAATTAATTGTAAAGACAAGTAATTGTAACACAATTCCACTGTAAAATGCTTTTATTTTTCGAAACCCTAAAAAAATGAAGCATTCGTTAAAAAGAAAACTTTTTCATAGATAAATAAATGCAGGTAATCATACGAAATTTTGTTTTAAACAAAAACTAGTCCTGAGAATTTAAATTTTTAATTAATAGCCAGTGGCCGGTAAACTCTAGAAGCCATTTTTTCCTCAAAAGTTGATGACCAATATTGATAGTCCCTTTTCATTTAGTAACCACTTTTTGCAAACTTTTTCTGCTTGGATTATAATAATTTTTTTTTAAAAAAAGAAATTGATATTAGAAACAATCTATGGCGAGAAAAAGTTAATTCAAAAATAAAAATGCTATGAATATGTGACAAAATTTAGTTAAACATACTGACTTTAAGGAGCTTTATTTGGGGAAACAAAATACATTTAATGTATACTTTGCAACTTTGAAATGCCTGAATTATTAAAGAACTCTGCTTTCACGTGATTCTTTCCACCACGGATTGGTGGATTCTGAAGTATCAAAATTTTGAACTTAGTCTAGATTGTTATACTTATATTATTAAGCGATTTCAGAATTTTCCAGATTGTTGTACTCCTATCATTAAGCGATTCCAAAATATTTCAGATTGTTGTACTTCTATCATTAAACGATTCCCGAATTTTCCAGATTGTTGTACTTCTATCATTAAACGATTTGGAAAAAAAATGGTAATTAGATGCTTATTTAATTTAAGTCGCCACTTTTTTTTTCATCTCGTAATGTGCTGAGTGGTTATTTTTATGTCTAACGAAAAGAAAGTTTTAAATTATTCATAACTATTAAAATATTATCAAAATATTTTGCACTTTATAAAAAAATTATGAAACTTAACAGAGTTCCAACAGAGGTTAACAGAGTTCTTTTTTTTAATGATTTTTTTTATTATTTTATTTCAGATTGGATTCTCGAGATACAGCCAAGAGTTTCTTAACAGCAAAGTGGATGGAGATTTACTTTTACAGTTAACAGAAACTTCACTTTCTGAAGATATAGGCATCATCAACGGAATATTAAGAAAGAGGTAAGAAAATATTCTTCCTTCAATTTTTGACTTCATTGTTGATGCATTGTTATTGCATGGGATAACACGTGTGTAACTAATTTAATATTTTTGATTACTGAATTTTAAAAGCAATTTATAATTTTTCCAAATTAATTTTAAAATTTTTCTATACAAATTAAAACTAAGAATTTAAAAATTTTTATAATTTTATACATAAAAAATTAGCGGCTTATAGGAAACTCAAAATCAATATTTAATATCAAATTTCTTAAATTGAAAGTCTTTTAAAATAAACGTTTGCATAATTATCAGTCATTTAATAAGGGAAAATTGTGTCCTCACCGAGAAAAAAAGTAGGGTCAAAAAAGTCGGAATACAATAAAATTTACCGTGTTTCGGACTCTATGGGAATACCAAAAAGCTCTGTAATTTTTACCGAAGCGCTTTGGTTAAATTAACAATAAAATATGTTTATAATATATGATAAAATTTAGTGAATGTGGTAAAACTTGATATTTTTGTCATGATATCTCAGAGCAGGACATGAAAATAATTTATTTGGTTAAATTTAATTTTCAGTTTCGTACTTGTTACTAAATGTGTGGTCGGAACTACATTGAAAACCAGGATTTGCGGTAAAGCGTTACCGTATGAACGAAAAAATTATCAAACGAATGATTTAAATGCCGTATATTTTGGTTTCTATTAGCAGAATTATGCTATTTTTTTACCAGAAATGTCATTACCATACAGTACGGTAATTTTACTAGAGTTTTTTTTCCTTTTACAATTTTTTTTTACACTTCGTTTTCTCTAAATAATTTTATTCAGCACAATTATTGTTAGTATATTAGGTAGCTTTTAACTAGTTATATCAGTTTTTTCAAAAGAAAATAATTTTGCTTTGCTCAAGCTAGAAGTTTCAAAAAATAATGAAATATATTTATAAAATGTGATAAATTAGTTATCAAAATCAATAATACCGCCGATTTTCCTTGATTTCTGCAGATTTTAGTTTTTCCGAAACTACAAAAACATTTTTTTCGAATTTTTTTTTCAATACCAACGCATTATTTTCTGACACATTTTTTATATAATTGGTGAATGGTCTTTAACGTTTTAATATTTTTTCTTTTTATTAAAGCAGAAATAATTTGAAATTCCCATGATCATCTCTAAAATAGTATTTGAAATCCCCATAATCATCTCTAAAATAGTATTTCAAAATTCAATAATCATCTCTAAAATAGTATTTCAAATTTACATAATCATCTCTAAAATAGTATTTCAAAATTCAATAATCATCGCTAAAATAGTATTTGAAATTCCCATAATCATCTCTAGAATAGTATTTGAAATTCCCATAATCATCTCTAAAATAGTATTTCAAAATTCAACAATCATCTCTAAAATAGTATTTGACATTCGTATTATCTCTAAAATAGTATTTGAAATTCCCATAATCATCTCTAAAATAGTATTTCAAAATTCAATAATCATCTCTAAAATAGTATTTGAAATTCCCATAATCATCTCTGAAATAGTATTTCAAAATTCAATAATCATCTCCAAAATAGTATTTCAAAATTCAATAATCATCTTTAAAATAGTATTTGATATTCGTATTATCTCTAAAATAGTATTTGAAATTCCCATAATCATCTCTAAAATAGTGTTTGAAATTCCAGATTCCTACGAGAGCTGAATCAGCTGAAGAGTATGGCAGACTATTCATCTCGAGATACTTCAGGTTTGAGTGCTGTTCTGCAAAATCTGGGACCAGAATTCTGTCAATATACCTATCAAATGTTATTGAGCGGAGTAAACTGTGGCAATATCAAGGAATTAACACCAGAACAGTTAACGGAAGAATGTGGAATCATCAACAGCATCCACAGAATGAAAGTGCTGCAAGCCCTCAAAGGTTAGTTACATTGATTCTTTCTCTTCTTCTTTTACTTATATATGAGATTAAATTGAAATTATTTCCGATAAAGAAAAACATAATACGTGTAAACATTAAGTATTTATGAAATATAAATTCAAATCTGCAAAGTTAAAAAGTATATATGTATTGTAGCCTGTACCAGAATTCTAACTTATTTGCATTCGGTCCTAAACTTTATAGAACATTTGAATCCAAATGTGTATAAACGAAAAATTGTATCTGCATGTAAAGAAATATTTCGAGCAATTTGGCAGTAATATTTCTTTTTAATTTATACTGGCTAATTCACAATTTTTAAAGTGAAAAATGTACACAGATTATGGGTCGCAAATTAATATTTAAATTTTTTAAAAAAAAAACTTTTTTTAAAGATATTTTAATGAATTATTTTAATAATTTTTCTGGGGAAGGCGATACTGTAAACATCAGACATCAGAAGTTGAAAGTTAGTTGTTAGAAACACCTCCACTTTTCATTGGGCAAACCAGTTTGTTTGCTAACAATAACAGTGTTTTTCTGTTTTAAAAATTCTCTATTATTATCACCATCTTAGCAATTTTTCAAAAATGTGTGAGTCATTGTTTTTCTAAGTTAGAGCTATCGTCTCCCACTCCAGCGGGTGTTCAAGACCTCTAGGGGGGGGGGGCTTTGTGCGGAAGATGTGTTAAAAATTACATACAGAAGAAATTTTTTTAATTTACTGTATTTAATACTATAAATTAACTTTATTTTGCATTGAAAAACCAACATTTATTTATTCTCTGCTTAAATTATTTGTAATAATAGCAGTTAGCCATTCAGTAATTTATTGAAGGAAAAAAAAAAGATAACTGTCCATTTTAGTAGTGAAAGTAACACTTAGTTCGCTGTTTTTCACAAAAAAAAATTTGCACAAGGAAGTTTTTGGTGACTTTTTTTTCACTTTTCGAAATGTATGCTTTTTTTTTCTTGAATTTTTAACTAATTACTTTGATAAAGTTACAATAGTTTTAAGTATTTAAAATAATTTGTTCAAAAGTTCATTTGTTCATTTTATGCATGACTTATAAGTTCTCATCGAATAAATTTCCTATGCTAAGATTACTTTCATAAAAAAATTTACTAAAAATTAGTTCAAATATAAAATTTTTGATCCACAGGAATTTTCAAAAATTATACTACATCAAAATTAAAGAGAAAAAAAAGATTTTTTTTTCAAGTTGTTTAATAAACATTTATTAATGTTTATAAACGTTTACTATAAAATGAAAGCTATTTTTAAGGGACGATGGAAAAAATCTTACTTGCAAACTAGGCGATAAGCCAAAAAAGGTTATGAGCCTATTGTTTATGTAGAGATACAAAAAAATTTTGTTTTAAAATTGAACTTTCAATATTAAATTTATTTCCAACGTTTTTCTAATTCCATTTGATTGTGTTACAATAATTTCTTTTCTATTTAAGGCATGGATTGCACCAGGGAAGGTCACGAATGTGAAGAAGACTTAAATCCCAAAAGTTTAGATGTATTTATCAGCTATCGTCGATCAAATGGCTCTCAACTAGCGAGGTAAATTAATAATTTAGAACAAAATCATTATTAAAACTTCAATTGATTGTTATAACATGTAATTTTATAACAATGAATGTTAATTATAACATTATTAACATACGAAAATTTCGAAAACTGATCTAAATAATAAATAAAATTAAAATATTTTACATACAAACTTGATAATTGCGTCTGAGCTTATAATGCGGTGTATTTTATTGTATAAACTTTAAAATTAAAATTAGACTATTCAGGGTTTGTGTTTTTCATTGAAATGAATTTTTTTAGCTCTTTCACAAAAATATTAAGCTATTCATTTTCTATATAGAATAGTACTATATAAAATTGTAGTACGTTAAAAATAATATATGAAAATAATATACTTCACAAAATGATATTCCATAAATGATTAGATTTATTTTACTTCGAAAATTTCGAAAACTGATCTAAATAATAAATAAAATTAAAATATTTTACTTATAAATCTGATAATTGCGGCTGAGCTTATAATGCGATGTATTTCATCATATAAACTTTAAAGTTAAAGCCAAGAATTCATCCTTAATCAATAATAGGCTACAGGAAATTTGGTTCAAAATTGAACCATGATATAGAGTTAAGTTACTGAAACCTAAATAACGAGCTAAATTAAAGCATGCTACCTTCTATATTGAACTATTTTATCGGTTAACAAAGTGTTAAGAATCACGATAATATGGTTTAATACAGCATCCCATTAAAGCTGCAGTAAATTGAACGATATTATTCAACACGCCGTAAAATTTCGAACACTATGGACGATGACTTTAGTATTTTGTCAATGTTAAATGTTATTAAAAATAAATTTATTTATTTTTTTATTATTTCAGCTTATTGAAAGTCCATTTACAACTACGTGGTTTTTCAGTCTTCATTGACGTAGAAAGACTTGAAGCTGGCAAATTCGACAACAACCTGTTGACCAGTGTTCGTAAAGCCAAACATTTTATTCTTGTACTCACTGCCAATTCTCTGGAACGATGCATCAATGATACAGAGTGCAAAGATTGGGTTCACAGAGTAAGCAAAATTTATCCATTATAATTGATTTTAAACTATATGTTATAAACAAAAATCATATATTATTTTTAAATGAAGGATATGAATTATTCATTGCTGTAGAAAATGCTATAACGTGAAAAATATTTTTCACGTTATAACATTTACAACGTTATAACATATTTTTCACGATATAAAAAAGAATTTAAACGCATCATATGATGTATTTAAATTCTTTATTTCGATACATATCTGTACGTTTTTGTTGCGATTTTGAGAATTTTAGTATTTTAATTCAAAACTGAAATGAAATTTATGCATATATATGCTTTACAATTTATCTATTTTGTCTATTTAAAATTTTAAATATTGTATATTAACCATGAATATATTTATTTTTTGATTGATATTATAATCATACAAGTCATCTTTATGGGGAGTACTTATTTGTTTTTTTTTCATATAGTTTTTTCGGAAAATCTTACTGTTAAGATGTCGATCACTTTTTAGATTAAATCTCATATTCAGAAAAATTATATGTAATATCATTGTCGGTAAATACCAAATAACCCTTTATAAATATTTATGTATACCTGTATTGCCCAAAAGCATTCAAAATGACTCGATTGTAAAAGAATAAATAATGTGTAAAGAAATTTGTTTAAAATTAATTTTTAATATATTTTATATCATTTACAGTTATATAACAAGTTATCAGTAAATATTAACAATAAAAAAATTATATGTTGTACAAAATTCTCAGAAATTGTGTCATTATATACATCATTGTTTCTCTAATTGAAATTAAAAGCTGTCAAAATGACTTCCTTGGGCAATCTAGTGTAAAAGGTACTTTCTATAGCATTTATTTAACAATTACTTATTTACATACTGATTCTGGTTTTATTTTTAATTAAATCTTATCTAATGAGAATAAATACAAATATTTTTTTCTATGAAAAAAATGCACTATCAATAGCTATTTAATTAATTTGCGGTGTCAATTAAATTATAATAAGTTTATTATTTATAATTTTAGTTTTTAATAAAAGAAGTTTTTTTTTTAAATATTTTTTGAAGATTCTTATTAATTGTATGTATTAATCTTTTCTGTAGGAGATAGTGGAAGCTTTACAGACCCAATGCAATATAATTCCGATTCTAGACAATTTCCAATGGCCTGAGCCAGATTCATTGCCTGAAGACATGCGTGCAATTTCATATTTCAATGGCGTCAGGTATGTTTACATTATACTGTATAATACGTAATAGAAATAATGCATAATTGTGTTTTAAAAAGTGTTAATATTATAATAAGCATAACTGTTTAAAATTAAAAGCAAATAACGCAATCACTGAGGGCGAAACATTAATATGAAAGCGTAAAGATGTTGACTGAAAACGCGAAATTAGAAATAATATTGAGCGATCGCAACTAAAAAAAATTGCAAAAATTTCTTAAAAAAATAAATAAACACTGAGGAAAACAAGTGTTTTAAGGCACTGAAGTTCAGTGCATTATTTTCATTAATTCATTTCGCGTATATATATANCTCCAACCTTCAGGTCTACTAGGAACTTTAACTGTTAGAGTCCGGACACTTTTGACGAGTGAATCCAGCGATTCAGTACTTTCGGAGTTCTCAAATTTGTTTTCGTTTCGCAGTTTAGCTAGTTCTAATTCTGCTTTTGTTCTCTCAAACTTAAATTTTTCTAACTGTAACAACGATTCCTTTTCTGCTTTTCTATCATTAATTATAGTATTTGCTATGTCAGTAGCAAGTTCTGGCTCTTTAACAAATGTTTCGTTGTTTTTTATTAAGTTCGTTAGCTCAATAATAGTCATAGTCTCAGTAACATTTTCACCTAACTCAATGGCAATTTGCCTTAAATCCTCTTTTTTCGCTCCTTTAAACATAGTTTATATTTATATATAGTCAATATAAAGTCAATGCACAATTTATCTCAATCAAATTTCAAAACTGGTACATACCTTTTAAGTGATGAAATTCGTATTTTAATCCATAGGTTTTAACTCACCTCCGTTCTCGGAGGACCACTTGACCAGTTTGGTCAGATCAATAGCTCACACACAATAATTGGACTGTATTTATTTTATACTCATTTATTTTGTACCAGCATTACGGACTCGCTCGTGAGCCCGTTACTCATACACATTACACATACACTGCTGCTTCCAGCACTCAGTTCTACAATTAAATTCAATTTACGCTTACAGCGCCATCTATATGTTTAATGGGAATTAACACGCTCTATTTATGGTTCTGATTGAATAGTTATGTGTCATCTGACTTAGTTGATTCAGTTTCCACCCCACAAATGGGTCCAAAAATGATGTGCACATCATGTATTATATTTTTTGAATAAGTTTTAAAACAAAAAGATACATAAATAGCCATAAGTCACCAAACACTTTAAAATTTAGTTTTTCTTTCATTTTTAATCTTATGTTTTTATAAATACTTGTATTTTTTTTTCTTTCTTTTCCGATGTTACAAATTTTTGCATATTTTCTAAAGTTTATAAGTTAATACATTGAATGAGATATGGATATTTAAATGACCTTTAACTGTTATAGCGTTACCTTTAACTGTTATAACGAGATATGGATATTTAAATGACCTTTAACTGTTATAACGAGATATAGATATTTAAATGACCTTTAACTGGCATATTTGTTTTCATACATTGAAATCAAACTTTATTGAAAAACGTATACAGAAATAAAGGGCGCTTCAAAAGTTTAGAACCATCATTTAAATTTTCGATTTATGTGTAAAAAAGTGGTGTTTAGGTACAGTAAACTATCCATGTGCTACTTGAATAGAACTCCCGCTTGGGGGATAACTATAGAGATGGTATTCCTTTCTCAAAAAGGGTGCTAGATAGGAATCAAAATAGATTATAAAGTTATAATGCCTCATCGATAAGGTACAAATAACCACCTAATAGACGTAAATGCTAAGAAAAAAAATACTTAAAACGAGCAATTGTTTGTTTACGATTTCCTACAATGTAACAGGGCAAAACCTTCTTATAACAAAAGCGCTACCTCTTACATTTAAGACCTAGTTCATGCTGTACAGGATCTTTCAAATAAAAAAATATTTAAAAAAAAAAAAGCCACTTTACTATATCTAGATTACTACACCACTTTTATAGCAATAGCTGCTAACATTCGAAATTAAGTTGATGCTTCCAGACTTTATTTGGTAGCCTATATAATATGCAAGTAACGTATTATATTTTTATATATAATATAATAAACTGTATTTTTTACGTATTTATTTATTTATTTTTACAATTCGGACTTAGAAAGTATAAAATCCTATGTACTCGGTGACTTTTAGCCATTTTTTGCATTGCTGTGAAGGTCTTCTAACTGTTGATCGGTTATGATCATTTATTTATAATCAGCCATGATTCGCCATTTGTTATGTGTTTTTGTGGAATAAAAGTTCCAGTGAGAATTTTGATAGGTGCATATATGTAAATACATTTCTAATTTCAAAGCATTGCATTGGGCTGTCTTTAAAGTAAGGAAAAACTTTTAAAAAATGAAGACAGTGGAATTTTCTAGTCATACAATAGAACAGTACAACATGAACTTAACTGCAGACATAGTTTCATTTTGCGAGATTCTTCATGAGTTAGGTGCCTGTATATGTATCCGCCCATACTGTGTGATATCATTTATATTTAAAAATGCATGTGTTTATTTTTCATACTTCATCTTGTATAAAGTTGTTTTCTGAAATCAAATTGTATTATATACTTGTGAATAAAATTGTTTTCTTTTCCAAGTGATATTTTACTCAGTAGTGACAAATCATCTTTTTTATATTTAAAAAAAATACGAGTTGAAGTTTTATTTTAAAAGTATGATTTTTATTTTTTTTTAGTTTAAGATAGTGATGCATATTTGGCTGAATCACATTTATAATAGTGAAGTATTTCCATTAAGGGAGAAGAAAACAAAAGAAGCCAACAAAAAGAGAGATTTTTAATGAATTCTGCAACGATTAATGATAAACTTGACTTAAAACATTTTTTTTATCATATGGCACATATTTTAATCTTCTTTTCTAGTGTTATAAATACAAAAATTAAAGAAAAAAAACAGTGCTTATAAGTTGCAATGTTTATAATTTATTTATTTTTGAATTTTTTATACATTGTTGCACTTTTAAGTTGGAAAAAAGATCATTCATTTTGATTTCGTTTTAATTTTTTTAAACTGCATAAATATAATTTTCATTGAACGCAGGATTTTAAAAAAATAATTTTTTTTTTTACAAAATGGCTCTGTTTCAATTGTTTTTTTAATGACATAAGTTACATTTTCGTAGATTACGCAAAACCAGTCAACCGATACAAAAATTCCAACGTGCAACTAAAACAATATTTAATGCGTCAAAATTTGAAATAAATTGGTTGAAAATGATACCAGTTCAAGACGCAGCAACTAAGAGAAACATAGTTCCGAGTAAATTGCGTTTAAAGCTTTGCAATTAATAATCCATATAAATGTAAAAAATTCTACAACTAACTGTTATGCATTAATACCATGTTTCTTCTCCATAATTTTCAGCTGTCTAGTTCTTTTTCTTATCAATCTACCTCGTGTGACGTGTTTTTAGAGCCGAAATTTTGCGATCATCTTCATTTTGAGCATAATCTTAAACTGATGGGCCTAAATTTATTTCTAATTGCAATCTTTATTTAAAATTATTACAACTAAAGTGAATTAATTAAAATGAATTAATTAAGTGAATTAGTTAAAATTATTACAATTAACTATGAGTCAAAATATAGTAACTGAATACTGTGGCAGAGCCTCAAGGACGTCATTTTCACGATTGGGACACACAAAGAGTCATTCGTTCTTAGAGGGCAGAATGATCTTGAGGGCAGAATGTCAAGCACAGCAGGCCTCTGCAGAACACAACATGCTGCTAGGGGTCTTTCTTGGAGGACTTCTCCCCTTCTGGTTCTGGTTCTCTATTTTCTGAGGGTTAACTGTCTAATGGATCTTGTCTGACGTTGAAAGATAAGCCCCAACAACAGCTAAATAAGTTGCAATTTCAACTATTTATATTGAATGTACCGATAGTTCTTCTCTTACATAATTTAAAAATATTTTTTCAATAAAATAGTTGAAATGATAAAATTTTGCTAAAATGTTTTAAAAAGGATGAGCAAATCAATTTATCAACTGAGCACACGCTCTCGCTTGTTCATACATGTCATGCGCAGTTATCTACACATTATGCTTTACAAAAGTAATTTCATTATTTTGGTACAATAATTTTAAACGTAGAAACTATCGAAAAAGGCAATAATTTTTTTACAAAATTTTACCGTGTTGTTTCCTTTAAATTAATACTTGTATTACTTCACTATTATAAGTAAGATGACCAGTGCAATGGGTCACTATTTTCAAAGGACCATAAATCTCATAAGTGCTATAAATATTTAAAAAATTTCTAAAAATTATTTTAAATGAGATTCGATTAATAATGTTTCAACTTTATTTTAAGGTAAGTTCCAAATAGGTTATAGCTGATAAAAATGTTATTAAGGTATGCTGATTCAAATGTTGAAATGATAATAGCGATAAAATTAACTCCGAAAGTTTTTAACTATATCACTTGGTTGCAAATTTTAGTTTCAACTTTAACATATTGTTTTATAACTTTCATATTAAATAAAATTAATAATTAAAGCGAAATTCTTTCCTGTAGGTGGTAAATGCATAAAGTTGATGCTTTTACATTTCAGGAATGTCCATTACTTTTTAGGTGCACCAAATTTAAAATTTCTTTTCAAATTTACGCAACTGAAAGTTAAAAATTAAGTAGATTAAAATTTACTGATATTTTACATTTTAAAAACTAAATGCCTTAAGAATATGAAATGGCTAACTTTAAACAGAAGATTAGCGATAAAATTTAAAAATATGTAGTTTTTTGTTTTAAAGTTTGAAGCTTGTGTTATGAGATTTCATTAAGTGTATTAAATATTTATAAATAGTTATTAAAGATATTGATAGAAGACGCTCTATAATGACGTCACTAGAAAGCATTTTATAAAGTTTCTCATCCGATCATGAAGTTCAGTCATGGATGCCTCGTTAAGGAGTTGTAGTTGCACTTCCAGAAAATCCAATAAATAAGAAATTATAATTAGCTGTAAATGCTACTTTTTATTTTCAATAATTGTAAATAATGCTTGTCACACATCATCGGATTCATAAAACTGTTAAAAAGTTGCATTTCTCAATTTGCTGCTGTAATTTTTTTGTTAATTAAAAGGTATAGCAAAGTGCTTAATACGTAAACTAAAAACACGTGGAATATTAATACTCATCGCTTATTCTTCTGTGCTCATGACATATTTAGAGTATGATCATTTCTTGAAAATTTAAAATTTGTTAAAAATGAAAAATTCTGTCAATTTCTTAAAAAAAAAATTTAATAANCCCGCTATTTCTCGCTCCCGTGATATTGACGGGCTGGAGTGTTCAGTAGTAACGCGCCAATAAGAATAAAACTAATTCATTTCTTTTGCCCGGAAAACATTTTATTTCTCATTTTACACACCTGATGACAGTACCAGGATATTTTTAAGGTAATTGTAGATAGTTAGTTTATTTTAAACTAGTTGCAGCACTAATCAAATACGAAATAGAAATACAAAATCCAAAAAAATAGGCACTTTTATGACCATTTTCTTGAAAATTAACCGATCGTTAAAGGGTTAATACTAATCTTTTATTCGCTCATGACATGTTTAGAGTATGACCGTTTCTTAAAAATTTAAATGTTGCTAAAAATAAAAAAATAAAAAATTATTATTTTTTTTTAGTAGGCTTTATTTAAACTAATAAAATTGCATGTGAAAATTTCAGATGCCTGCATGCAAAATTATCTTTAAAAAAATATATATATATTCGACTTTTGGAAATATTTTCATGAATATTGTTTCACCCTTTGAGAAAATTTCTACAGGTATACGTAGTTACAGCCCACTATTTGTATTAATATGATGTTTATTTGATGATGTAGAGTTGAAGAATTAAAATTACAAGAAAATAAAAAGGCTAACATTAGTGCTCATTTTAAATAGAAATAAATTTTATTTTTCAATTAAATTTTCAGTTTCATAAAGCGAAACGAAAAAGAATGCGAAGCAATCATGTGATTGGGCAGTGAAACAATTAGGGGTTCAGCTCCCTAGTTCTTCAAATTTTACGTTTAAGCATAAAATTATCATAAATAATAAATAAACACTGAATTATAAGCAATTGTGTTAAGCTTGTATAAAGTTATATTAAGCTTGATACATTTTACTCGTATAAAATAATTTTTTTAAACTATTATGCAATAATCAATTTATTTGCAGATGAAAGTGTATAGTTGCAAATGAAATGAAAATCGTAGTTTCGAAATAAATCAACCATTTGAAAACACAATAAAAGAAAAATGGAAGGAGACAGACATATGCGATTAACTGCGTTCTGGTTAGGAAACTATCAATTTATTCTCATTGAAATTCAAAGTTAATTGTGAAGTTTATCAGCGTATGTGGCTAAGAATCAAAAACACAACGAAACAGTTATTCTTTACTACATTACAAATCATCGGTATAGAAATATTTTCACGAGTGTGTGTCAAATTAGTCCTCAGAATGCAGAAAATTGGGGCTAAAGTGGTTATTTTGAAAAGATTGTTTTTATAGCGTTTTATCGCTTTTTTAAGATATAAACGTCCTCCCGTGACAA